GAAAGAAAATATAGAATTCTCCAAAAACAATCTAATTTTTGAACTAACATAAGTAAGAGATATTATAGTACACTTCCAGTAACCAATGGTATGTCATTTGAAAAAAAATGGAAAAACATCAGATCCCCCCCAACACACAAACATACACTATTAACAATCTTCACGTTATGGTCAATAATAAAACAAATTATTGAACAATATATAGGGGGAAAACTACAAAGTAAAAATATTCTTCTTAGTTTCGCAGAACATCTTTAAACCCACTACAATACAATTATTATTTATGGAAAATTACTCACTGCACATCTGCTTATTTTAAAAGAAATTTAAAACAGCTAATGTTTAAGATAGTAAAACCAGATCTGTCTACGCCAAAATTTCTTTAAAGCAAATACTTACCCAAAATATGCTTGCAAACTGCAAATGGTGATTTTGATTTTCTAAATGATAAGAATATGTGTTCTGCATGCTGTCGTTGTTCATTATTGACCATGGAAGGTGGTGCCTTGGGAGTTAAAATGAAAAACAGTAATTTAATGAGAAAGCTTGAACAACAAAAGTCCTTCTACCCCTAAGATGAGAAAATGTGCCAGACTGGTAGCTCACTCCTGTAATCCCTGCTACTTGGGAGGCTAAAACAGAAGATTCCAAGTTCAAGGCCAATCTGTATAATTTAGTAAGATTTTATCTCAAATTAAATTTTTTACAAAAGGCTAACACTGTCTAGCATATTCAAGGCCCTGGGTTCAACTCCCATGGTGGGGGCAGGTGGGGAGTGAATGAAATGTTTTATTTTTCTTTACTGGTGCTGGAAGCAATGAGAACAAATTTCTGCTTAATTTTCTGAGGAATTACAGTATAAAGTGTCATAATAAACATTTAAAATAAAGTTTCAGAAAAAAAATTTCTGGTAAGATTTGTCAGAATCCATTAAAGTTGCCAGCATTTTATAAAAGTACATACTTATCTAACAATTTTTTAAAAGAAAATGACTTATTATTGTCTTTTATTCCAAAATGGACCACTCAGCCTAATTTGACTTAGTTCAGATAACATCTAAATTCCTCAATACTGGTAAAATTAAATCCAACTTACAAAAGACAATTTCTAAAAGCAATCCTTTTAGGTAAAAAAAATCAAACAATTCTACCTCTAAAATCACCATTTAGTCTGAAAAATAGAGAATAGTTAAATTTGGAATTAATGAAACTCCTCTTTGAATAATACATTAATCAGTCAAAAAGGTAAGACTTCTATCTTACCAAAAACAACTTGTACCATCTACTCAGATTTTTTAAATTCCATTTTGGCGTAACAATTTTCTTCTGAAGATAATACTCTTTCAGATCAGACATTGTACACCCAAATATACAGTCTTATTACATGGTCTGGTTACTTTTTTGATCTATTAAGAACTATCTAAAAAGAAGGGGGAAAAGTGACTCCTTATATAGTCTACAAATTCTCAATTTGGAAATAATAAAGATTTATTCTACCACCTGCCTGTATCATTAGCTTTAGAAACATTTTTGGGTAGATGGTAGAAAATAAACCCTTTTCATTCTAACCAATATGAGGAGGAGAAATCATAATTTCAATTATATCAAAGAATCTTAAAGAAGAAAAACACTGTAATCAAGTGTATTAGATCAATATTTATCATAAATTACATCAATTGTGCAACATTAGTCACGCTAATTTCATCGATATAGTAAAGCAGTGGTGTACATCAAAGGAAAATTACTGTGATACTGTGGCTTAAGTGAATTACTATAATTAGCTAGAGGCAGTTCAGACTCTTCCTAGTGGTACAGCACCCTCTTGTGTTAAAAATCTTTACTTTTTTTTAAAAAAGCTTTAGCAATAAACTACTGTAAACAGCTAACTATAACCAGAAGAAAATATTTTTGTCCTTCCATCTGTGAATTATTCCCACCATTTTCTCTAGTTCTACAAGACAAGCTTATGTTTTTACAAGGTATCACCTCAATTTTTATGTCTGATAACTATGACCTTAACATACAGCATATTAGCAAACACTATTAGTAAATAATGCTACATATACAAATTAACTCTGGATCACCTAGGTAGTTTCTGAATCATTCTTTTCATTATCCTTCAAATGCACTTGCACATGCACAATTATACCCATATTATACTGCATATAATATGCTAGTTACTCTAAAAACAAAATGTTTCTAAAGTTAATGATCCAAAGTTAGATGCATTTAATCTATTAAAAAGTACAGGTGTGAGCACACAGGAGGTGAGCCCCTACCAGTGCACAAGAGGAGGCTTCCAGGCCGCCCTACACCACCCACCACCCCAGCACACAGGTGAGCTGCACAGGCACCCAGCCCCATCGAAATGAGGAGACACGTAAACAAGTCTCAAAACTAGACTTCCAGACCACCTACAGCAACCCCAAAGGGAAATGAGATGGAACCCTCTGATAATCAACCACCTGGACTCCCTCAACTGGCAACAAAAGAGGATCTGGAAAAAATGAAATCAGAAATAATTTCTCAGGTTAACAGCAGAGATTGTGCTCATAGTGCAAGACATGATTAATAAATCTAAAGAGGAGCTCAGGAACACGATGGAATCTCAACATGGGAAACAAATGGAATCCGTAAAACAGATGCAAACAGATTTCCAGGAGATTAAAACCTCCACTGAGGGCCGGGGATTTGGCTCACTGGTTTCGCCGCCTGCTGTGCAAGCGTAAGGACCCCAGTTCCATCCCTGGTACAAAAAAAGAAAAACTCCAGCACAATGAGCCAATGTGAGGACAGAATCTCAGATATAGAAGATAAGATTGCAATTAGTGACCAGGAAAAGAAAAACTGCTTTAAAATGGTAAGGGACCACGAGAAATCAATACAGCAGCTACTAGACGATCCAAAGAAGAATAACGTAAGATTCATTGGAGTCAACGAAGAAACAGGAGACAGTGCAGATGACATAAAAAAAGACTCTTCACAGAAGTGATGGCAGAAAACTTCCCAAGGAGGGGAAAAGAACTTGACATTCAGCTAAGTGAGGCATATAGGACTCCAAATAGCCTTGATCAAAAAGAATCTACACATAGGCATACAATTGTTAAGATTCCAGAAACCCAACAGAAGAACAAAATTCTACAATTAGAGAAAAGAAACAAATCACATACAAAGGAAAGCCCATCAGAATCACAGCAGACTTCTCAACACAAACCCTCTAGGCAAGAAGAGCTTGGAGTGATGTATTTCAAGCCCTAAAGGCAAAGAGCCTCCAACCCAGATTGATGTACCCTGCA